GCCTCATTTCCCCTCCTAGCCCCTCTCCTGTTGTTTCTTCTATCCTAGGCCCTTCCTTGTTCCATTGTTCCCAGCTTTAATAAATGTTCTCTAAAAATAAGAAAATGTGCTGGCAAGGGGGCCTGACTTAAGAGGAGGAAATTTGTGCAGAAAGAAATCAGCTCTAAGACCTTCACCAGCATCAGTCTCCAAAGCTACAGCCATCCAGGATTCAAACACAGCCCTCTGTTCACCTGACCCCGCTCAGCTAATGAGCTTGTGGGTGAAGGGAAGGGTCTGTCCCCATGACCAACTACCAGCAGATGCCCCTGTTGGCCCCCTGGTCTCATGTGTTCTCTCCAGGTGCCCATTCCCCGCGCTGGATCCCAGGGTTCTTGTGGGGCCACTGTCCTGGGGCTGGTGGTTTCCCCTAAGCCTAGATGTGGCGTTCTCACCCCCTCTCCTCCTGCAGTTAGCAGCGGCTCGGTCACAGTGAACGCTGACTCATCAGTTCAGTTACTGGCTGAAGAGGCTGTGCCGCTGGACATGCTGGATTTGGGGGTAAGTGTCCCAGCAGAAACTGAGGCATGAGCTAAGGGCTTCTGGCTTTGGGGGTGGAAGGGCAGGTGCCAGGACAGGGACCCTGTTTGGACCTCACTAACCACCACCTACTGTAGGCGGCCAAGGCAAACTTGGAGAAGGCACAATCGGAGCTGTCAGGGGCATCCGACGAGGCCATGAGGGCTGAGATCCAAATCCGAATCGAGGCCAACGAAGCCCTGGTGAAGGCTCTGGAGTAGGCGGTGCGTGCTCCTCGCCAGTGTCAGCGGGGAAACCAAGGCCCAGAGTGGGACAGGGGTTGGAACCAGCTCTCATGGGTCCAGTATGAGGGTGGGGGCAACCCCTCTGGGAGGTAGCCATCCTTGCCGGTGAGGCCACCAGGGGGCAGCAAATTGCTAGCTTCTCCCAGCGCATACCCCCTGGGCCCAGGCCTGGTGGCAGGGGTGAGCTCAGAGACCCTCCTCTGCTCTTGCGGGGGACTGTCACCTAGCGAATTTGCCTCCCACCTCCAAAGACCCCACCAACCTGACCTGCTGCCCTCCACTCTCATGCTGTAGAGACCTCTCCTCCCTACTGCCTTCTCTGGACAGCTTGTCCCCAGTGTGCACCCCATTAAAGACCAGGGACCCCACTTGTGTGTGCTGATTTTGTCTCCTGCCTAGGGCAATGGGCTTGGGATGCCACACCTCTGTTAGGGAGGGCCTCAGCTTCAAGGATTTGGGGATTGTGGCCTAAAAGGTCCTTGGGAGCCTCTGAGGAGTGGGGGAGAACACAGCTAGTGACACCAGGCTAGGTGACGGGCAGGGTTCTGGGGACAGCATGGGTGGAGGGGTGGCTGTGGTTCTTTGGTCAGGACTGGGCTGCTCGTCGAGACACCTAGGGTCCAGTCAGGTTCCAGGTTGTGATTTCCACTCTGGGCTTCCTGGCCCTACTCCCAGGGAGGCCCCGCCTTGTACTGGACCAGCCTGTGGGTGGCCCTGGCTGGATGACTGCCTGACTTCTGTTGGTGTTGGCATCTCTGTGGCACCCCAGGCCCTGGGACAGCCCCAGATGGGGTGGGGTGTCTCGACAGGAGCAGCCCTGGCAGCACACAGCTTCACAGAGCTGTTCCATCTCCTCCATTTTGTAACCCTGGGGATGACCCAGACTTGGGTTCCAGGTGGTAGGCAGAGGACTTCAAGGCAGGGGTCTTCTTGCCCCACCCCTGTCAGCCCTGAGCCCAAGCTGGGCTTGCAGGGTATTCCAGGATGGTGAGTGTTCGGAAGAGCCTGGGCCTCCCTGTGTGTCACAGGGAGGCCACCCTGGGGCATGTCATCAGTATGGATGGGCACTAGTGTGTCACAGTCCTATGCAAGTGACTGTCATATGGCTGTGTTCAAGGCTTGACATGGTGAGAGACCCATGTGTGTGGGGCCTCCAGGTGATCTCCTGCGCTGTGTGTGTGTACGTATGTGCGTGCGCGCCCCCACATGCTTGGGTCTCCTTTCTCTCAGGCCAGTGAGGCCCAAGCAGCAGTCCCCTGCTTCCCGGGAACTCCCAGCCTAGAGAAGGCTGTGATAGCGGGTGCAGCACCACTCTTCCTTGTCTCCAGCTCAGAGACAAGGTCTTCAGAGTTCATGGCCAGTTTGGGCACCATAAATAAAACCAAAGAAGGGAGGTTAACGAGGGAGACCATCACCAAGATGCTGCCAGCACCCCCTCTCTGCTTATGTCCTGAGAGACTTCAGCCTCCAGCTGGGGGGCAGCAGGATGCAACTGGGACACCATAGTACATTCCCCATGGGAGACATGAGACTTGGGGACACACCCTGCCTGACACGGGCCCCAAGGGAACAGCTGGTGCTGGCAGGGTCAAGACCTGGGGCAGAAGGGATCCAGGGTGGGGCAGGTCACAGGGACAGAAACCAGGGGTCCAGACCTCATCCACAGGGCAGGCTTGGGACCTGAGGGGGCAGGAAAGGGGTCCCCTGGTACAACTGTGCTTATATCCTGGGACAATTGCTGAAGTATAGGGATGCTCTAAATGGGAAGGAATCAGAAGCCAGTTGATTAGCATGTTTATTAAGTTAGACCTGCAGAGCAAGGTCAGGGCCTCCACACACACACACACCGCCCCCCATTAAGAGCAAACCTTCATCCCCCAGTGTGGTTTCAGCAAGGTCAGGGACCAGCCTGAGATCACAAAGTTCTGCCTACCCCAGTAGCAACATCCCCACCCCTTGGAGGTCCCACCTAGGCTGTTCTGTTTCCTCTGCCAACTCCAAGCTGGAAGCAGAGCCCCTACGCTGGCCCCTCTGCCTGTTTCCACAACCTGTAGCCACTTAAGTCTCCAGACCTTTGCAGTAGCCGTTTCCATTTCCTGAGAACCATGCTGTGTTTGTGGCAAACTGCTATCCATCCCTCAACACCAGCCCTGTCCCCACCAATCAGGGCAGAGGCCATAGGAGCGTTGGGTGAGAGTCGGAAGGAACAGCCCTGGGAGGGATGCTGAGGGTAGAGGTGGGGATGGTCGTCCCAGATGAAGAAACCAGAAAAGTGGATAGGGGTTGGGTGAGTAGAACTTGGGGTCCCTTTCTAGGCAGAAGGGTCAGGAGGACCAATAGGGCCCCACCACCAATCAGGGTCATCCTCAGAAAGCCACCAAAATGACATGCCATGCTCCTGCCTGTGTGGTCTATATCCTAGTATGTGAAATGGGTAGGGGGGTTATGCCCAGCCCAAAGGATGGGCAGCAGCCTGTGAACTTGCATTATTGAATGATGACAACATCACTGGGTCTGAGTGAGGGACCCATACCTCAGGCCCCAGGGTGAGTCCTGCAGGATATTCATTCCACCCCATGGCCACCTAGGAAATAGGCTCCAGGGGCCAAAACCCTCCCGAGGTCACAGGACGTGTGATGACTGGCTGCACAAGGCAGTCCTGGTGCTGGTTAATCGCTCCATAAATGCCCTCTGAGGTCACTGTTAAGGGATGCGCCGCCGCGGCACCCCCACTCCAGGCAGGTGACTTGGGCCTGTTTTCCTGGACTGTGCTGCTGACTCAGGCTCCCCTTCCCACGCCCCGCCTTCCGCCTTGCAGGCACCCCCAGGCGGAAGCACAGGGCTTGGAGCGGCAGAAAAATGTCAGGGAGTCCGGCTGTGCACCCAGAAACCCTATACCCGTGGCCCAAGTGGGGGTGCGACCGAGTCGTCGACTAGGACAACCGTGACCTCGGGTTCGGTGGCATTCCATGAGCGCAGTCATTGACGGGGCAAGTGGCCCAGGCCGGGCGGCACTCCTGGGCTCTGGCCCACTGGGAGGGGCGGGGATGGCCTGCGTCACTGCCCGCCCGGCTCCCTCCCACCACCCCTGCCCGCCCAAACTCCACCCAGGGAAGGCGGCGCGGATAAAGGTTCAGGGCCGCCGGTGCGGCCCCATACCTACCCCGCCACGGCGCACTGGTTCTCGGCCCAGGTACATTAAAGGACTGTGGTGACCTCGGACTGGCCGCGCCCGGTGAGTTGTGGGCGGGATCTCGCGGGCCAAGGAGGGGTTCCCCGCTCTAGGCTTTTAAGGTGCCCCACTTTTCTTTGTTCTTGGGACAGGCAGGGTTTGGGATACCTCCAGTCCTGGGAAGCACCCCTTCCCCCACGGGACGTGGAATGGGTGGAGCGAGGCGCAGCCAGCACCCCCTTCACGGGACCTGGGCCCCTGCCCCACCCCCCCGTCACTCCCCCTCCCCGGAGTGACCTTGAGCTAGTTGCTGTTCCAGTCTGCTTTCCGGTGTGTACGGCCTCAATTTTATGCTTTAGAGGATTCACACTAGCGAGTCTCTCCCCACGCCCGAAGTCGGTCGGCTTTGCCCCTGCCCGGGACATTCTCGCGCCCCCTCCCCAGGACTCTCAGCAGCGCTCCCGGATGGGGGCCGGCAGAGGGCGCGCCAGCGCTGCTGACTCACCGCAGCCCCGAGCTGAGCCGTGCGCGCGGGCCCCACCAGGGACGCCGCGTCACGTCATAGCTCCGGCGGGTGCGACTCAAGAAGCAGGTCCAGCCCGCGAGACTGGGGTGGGACGCGAGGTAGCACCAGGGTCCCCCCGACACCGGCCACGTCACGGGATGCAGGACTCGCCATCAGCTCGTGGAGACCTCACGCCCCAAAGTCGAACCTTCCCGCGAGCCGCCGAACATGGCCCAGCCACGAGGCGCGGGTATTGCCCCTCGCTTCCGCTCGCGGTAGCTTCCCGGACGGACGCGGGAGAGGTCACGCGACATCCTGCCCATCCTGGCGCGGGGACAAAGCCAGCCCTCACGCCACACAGCTCCGGGAAGAGGTCCCGAGTCCTCCCGGGCCGCTCGCCCTTTGTTGTGGGCACCAGGCCTTATGAATGGCCCCCGGCGCGGGCGGGGGCGTGGGG